AAAGTATATCTTTTTTCTTATTGTTTAATTTGCTTTGCAGCTCACCAACAAAATTAATTTTTAATTAATATAAATTATATATGCTTTGAAAGGTCTGAGGGATACCTCTATGATTAGACAGTCACAGTCACGTATATATGTAACCCATGCAAAAACTGTATATATATGCATGTACATATATATAACCCATATCTCTTTTTCAAAACTGCATATTAATTCTCATGTGCTGTCAGTATGTTATTGACATAATTTTTTTTTTTTTCGCAGTAGTTTCCAATGACATTGTAAAGGTCATCTCTTTCTCTAAAGGAAAAACATACAGGACATCTTAAGAGAGAGAACTATTTGTACTCTGAACCTACAGGTCTGCAGCTGATGGCCCTATGACTCCAGTTTGACCATGTTTTGACCCTCTGCAACCTGTGTGAAGATTGAAGACAGTACATGAGCATCACCAAAGACCCCAGCACTCCTCGGACATGCTGCTGGAGCACTTTCCCACACTGACAACCCTTTTAAAGATGATGTCTCTTGGCTAGATCTTATGGAACAGCTTGGCCAGGTAGGAGCTGCTAGTGCAGATATGTGGTGCAGCATTGGAAGCACTGTCAGAAAAAGCTCTACCCTTTAGTTTAACTTGACCTGTTGGTTTTCTGAAGGAATGACAAAAGCTGCCAGTAAGAACTGAGAGTAGCACTGCAACACACCGATTTCTGTTTTTGGGAGGTGCTGAGGAGGCTTTCATTCAGATCTCTCACCTTCCCTACTCTCAAGAGGTCATGTAGTATTTCCATATGGTTTACAGTATTTACTACAACAGAAGTGTGTAGCATCAGCCTGCCCTGTACATGACAATGTATGCCTAATAAATCAGAGATGGAATTTCAAAATCTTTTGCTTGTAATGCTCCCACAAGATCTCAGTCATTAAAAAAATCTTGAAAATTTTGCCTGAATTTTTGGAGTTGCTTTAGATTAATTTATTAATCTAGAAGGAACTTCCTTGATATCTATATGATATTTTTAAGATTATTAGATTGCCAATGACAACTTGGACACAATAAAGAACTTTGGCCCCAGGTGAGAAGTGACTTGCTTCCAACAGGCCCTGGTCAGTAGATTACTGTGATGGTCTGCAGTGTGTTTTTGCAAATCCTGACCCAGGCAGAGACATACCTTGAGCCACAGAATTCAGTACTTACTTTCTTTTATAATTTATTTTTAAATATATCATAGTGAAAATGTTTGGATGAAGTGACAGAAGTTCTGCTTTTTGGCCAAAGTAAAGCCATCACTTTGCAGGACCAAATCTGGCAATGATCTGATCCTGTATATCAAAAGAGGGTTTTTTTCTGAAAGGACTTAAGCAGTTTCAAGGACAGTACCTTTGAACGATAAACTATGTTCTATGCCATATGCCTTCTTAAATATATCCTTGCGTTACACTAGGCTAGAAAAGGTTTATGAAAAAAAAAAAAAACAAACCAAACCAAATAAAGCAGTCATAGCTTGAAGTAAAATATACAGAAGACTGTTTCTAGGTAGAGTTGAAACACAAGACTTCTTTTAAAAAGGGAAACTTTACAGACCTTGTTCTGCATCATTAAGTTTTCAGGAATGCTGAATAGAGCATGATGGATTTAAGTTGCTGCTTGTATTTAATTTTGGTACAGTTCAAGGGGCCACATCAGAAGAAGGAATCAAAGACAGAAAAAAACCAAACAAACAACCTGTTAACTGGAAAAACCATCAATTAAAAAAAAAGAAAAGGTATAAGAAGGTCCCAACACCTTTTGCCAGTGGCTAAAAATATCAGATTAAATTGTAGTACTCCTGAGGCATATTATTCCATGTGATTAGAATATAATTTGTTAAACAGAGCAGAGCTTTTATTTCAAACACTTCTTTCCTGAGTATCATCGATGCATTAAGGTTTCGGTGTGCTTAAAATAAATGAATAAAACATGTCATCATTTTAATGATGATCTTTTTGTGGTTGTTTTTCTTTAAAATAAGCCAATTACTTGAAATGTGTGGGTTACACATAGCTGTAGGGAAACTGAGGCTCATATCTTCAGTGTATGTCAAATTAGTCTTCTTTTAAAAAAGTAACAAGCGTATATTATTCTTTTCTAGTTTTTCTAATAAGAGAAAAAACAATATTTGTTTAGAAAATAGAAAAGAAAGAAATAGAAAAAAAACCCCAATTTTTATACCTCTGGGGCAAGTTTCAACTCTTTTGGTTTCTTGAGGAAATAAATAAAAAGCTTTGCAGAAAGACTCCTAAAAAATTGCCCAAGAGGGAGGGAAGGAAACACCTTAAAACATCACATTACCAAGCACTGAGGTAATCAACTACAATCTGAGAAATGTCAAACAGTGGTATTCATCTACTCAAAGATTTTGCTGGTCAAGTTTTTAACTGCCATTTGCAATCACTAAGTAAAATATGGAATATAGTGTGGATATAAACAAGAGGCAAATTAGTATTGGGAAGCTGGGTTTAATAATTCCCTAAAAGAGTCCATCTGTTCTATAAAGACCACTTTTTCCATGATCTCTGACATGTATTCCTAATATAGACAGCACTGAGGTTTTTTTTCCTTACATTTTTAAACACCCTGCTACCATAAACTCTACTCATAGTATATCTGATCTGAGTGTTTCTCTCAAGTTTCAATTATGTAAGCACTGAGGGGCAATACAATTTCATACAGGTTCAGCCTGCTTTAGAGTAAGTATTATAACATCAGACAAATATAAATGCAATTCCTTTAGTACTAATGTTCAACAGCACTGGTTACTTCTTGTTTTTCTGATTTTTGCAAATATTTATCATATTATCACAGGAATACCTGAAACAGGTTGAAAATGCTTTCATGTTTGGAACTGGAGTTTGGTTTTGTTTTCCTGCTTGAAACAATTGAAAAGCACATTGTTTGAAATGAATAGAAGATTGATAACCTAAAAAACTAAGTGATTTGCAGGTATAAAAGAACTAAAATGATTTATAGTCTGTGCTTCCTATCCACTATGGAGAAGGGAAAAATACACCATTGACTACACCCTTCTCACAGATAGAGGTCAGTAATGGACTGGATTTGAATCTGCCTAGTGAAAGCCTGAAAGTTACATGAAAGTATCCTAGACAAAAATGAACTCATTTTGAGATTAAAGAGGTAACAGAAATGACTAAGAAATAAAGCTCTCACCTTCCTGGAAACAGTATTATCTTAAGTGTGCCTTCTTTCTAGTCCTTTAAATAGAAACTTCAGTACAGGAAAAGCCTGATAGTTGTACTTGTTTTAACTGCTTTTTGTTTTCTTCACTTGGTAAAACTATGACTCTCCTCCTTTGCTGTGGGAAGGGTAGGGAAGTCAGCCCTAATGACATCCCACGTTTTAGATACTGCTATTTTAAGCAGCTGAATGCAAGCACATTCTTGATTCTTGAAGGAAAGCACAGCCTATGTAATGCAGATTCCAACTGGAAGGGTGTAGGGTTGCGCAAAGGAGATATGTCTACATCCTAAATCAAGCTATCCAGCAGGCCAGGATATAAATGTAACTTGTTACAGTGGCTCAAATTAGATCCAGACTTCCCCAAGCCAAACACAGATAACATCACCTTATACAAAATATGGGGTGTACGTGTGTGTGAGGAGCAGGTCTTAAGAACGCTGGGTGCATTCCAGCTCCACTTCTTGCTAAAGCCTTGGACTTTGGAAAACACTGATGACTGTTCTAGTCACAGGTAGTTTTATAGACACTGTATTTGCACAGGGCTCTGACTTGTTTTACCTACAGTACTCCAGGCCTGAACTCTCTTAACTGCCTCGCTACCATATCAGCACAGAGAACAACCACTGAAACAGCTTCTTGAAGTCTCTCCTCACATAATTTTCAGAAACAAGATCAACACTAATATTCTGACATCACTTTTGTCACATAGAAATAATGACTTTAAAATCACCTGTTATGTCTTTTTTTTTATTATGTAATGTTTAGATCTTTTTCATTATGCAAAGTTTATGTCTCAGTGATAACATTGCATATATTGACTATTTCAAAGAAGAAAGGAAAGAAAGGTGAATAGAAAGAAAGGTACAGTACCTTTTAAGAGTTTTGAAAAAAATGCCAGGATGAACTTTTCTCCTTCCAAGAATACATATAGCAAAAATCAATTAATTAACTTTGCCTTAAACTACAAACATGTAAAGGTCTTTCTTTGGAGAAAGACCATGCCAGTGAACGAAGCAAGGAATTCAGTCCATGGAAATTTGTGGGGGTTTTTGTATGGTTAGCTGAGTTTATTAAACCCAAGAACTGATCAATCTCAACCTCTAAACTGGTTTAATTTCCCTGCAAGCAGAGTAAAGTTAGTTACAGTAAATAAACCTCTCTTTAACATGCACCCTGACTTTCAGAGAGAGAGGTGGGGGGAGAGGGAAGGAATGAGAGAGGGAGAGGGAGGTAGAGAGGGAGAGGTCTGACTTGCTTTTAGTATCTTTTCCTTTTCCTCGTGTAAGGAACCTCTCCCTTTCTATTTGGCTGAACGCTGCATTGCAAAAGGCAGTATCTGAAGAAATACAATCAGTACCTTCCACACACAGTGCAGGAATTTACACGGATTTGTGCCTTGGATTTATTAGCTTATTGTAAGCCCTAAAACAGATTTCCTCCATTAAAATTAATTAAAAGCTCCTGTTGACTGCTTTCCACTCTGAAAAGAAGGTGGAGAATCTTATTCTGTTAACTTTAATGATTGTTTATTTATCTTTTATGGGGTTTTATATCATATTCAAGAGAGGTCTTTTCAGCTGCTTGACTTCCTTTTGCCATCTGCTATTTTTTGTTCACACACCATCCCCACGCACCCAGCCCCCCGTAGTATTTATTCTTATTTTGTCAGATTCCCCATCTAACTCGTCAGGTCTCTGAGCGGCTCCTTTGCATTCCGAATCTCGGTCCGATTCTCTTAACCTCTCCCCCACCCACTCACCGCCAGCCCCGCTCCGGAGGCTGCTGATGGGGATCTGATGGATCCTCCTGCCGGGCGCAGCTCTCCACTCTCCCCGTAGATTCCTAACACTCGGCAGCGCCGATCTAAGCCGAGTTCCTCTGCCAAGCAAGGCTCACCTCTAAAGGTCCCGTTTGCCCGAACCACCTCCCAGAGAGAGCGGCTGGCGGTGCTCACAGGGGCGCTCTGCCGGTGCCCCTGCCGCAGGGGTAGTCCTCGGCTCTCCCCTCCCCACGGGGGGAGGGGGGCAGGCTCGGCACCCTCCCTGCTCGGCGGTGAAACGCGACCGGGGACCTGGGACCTCGCTGCAGCTGCCAGCTCCGAGTCCCGCTCCTGAGCCACACGCTGGCGCAGAACAGCCCGGGGACCCTGCTAGCACTTGCCGCCGGCCATTCATAAATCCTACTCGTGGGTGCCCTGCGCCGCGGACATGGGGCTCTAACGTGGCGAAGGCGGTGTTTCTGACACAGCCTGATCCCGGCTCCGCAACTTTGCCATCTGGGAGCAGGCAAAGGGCACCGCGGCTTTAGATCCCCCTGGGCTAGAATTACCAGAAAGGAAAAGAGTAAGAAATGAAATCCCAACTGTACCTGGCGGTGTCTGGGAATCCCTCGCCGGCACCGATCGTAATCCCCCTCCGCGCCTCTGGCCCCCCACACCAAAACTTTGCCGCCGCCGCTCCTCGGTGGTGGCCGCCGCCGCCCTCCGCCCGGCGCCGCTCCCGGCCGGCCCCGCGGCCCCTTCCCCGCCGGCCGCCGCCGCTCCGAGCGACCCCCGCGCCTCCCGCGCCTTCCTCCGCCCTTACGAGGCGGCGGCATCGTCCTACCCCCTGCTCCGCCACCTCCTCCTCCGGCGCGCAGCCCGCGGCTCTGGCATTCCCAACGCACTTTCTCTCCTCGATTCGCGCTCTCTTTCCCCCGCCGTTCCTCCTTCTCCGGTAAAAAAAAATAAACGAGAGGGGACCGCGGCTACGCTTGGTCTTGGGGTTTCTTTCTTTCTGGATTTTTTTTTCCTGGTCTCTTTCTATTCTCTGGAAATGATGAAAAGATCACATGAGGAGCAGGCACGGCGACCCAGGACCCTCGTAAGTCGGAGAAGACATCGGACACATGTACGTAAGTATATATGTGAGCGTGTGTCTGGCTCTCTCCAAGTCCTGCGCCTGCCTCCAGCCGGGATTGCAGGATGATCTTAGCAGTAGTGATGCCTCACATCTCACTATTCCCTGCTAATGTAAGTCGTGCCTTTTTTTCCTCCCTGCCTGACACCCCAGGGAGATGTTTACAGTAATGAATTCAGTTGATAGCCATCTCTCTCTCTCCTGGAGTCCCTCCCACATTTCTACTTTAAAGAATGCTTGGAAGGCAGGGCTGCAACCTAAAGCTTTCCAAGAGGCAAAGTCAGGCTAGATTTTCTCTTTTTCTTCTTTCCTTATTTCCCTCCCCGTCCCCCCCGTTCCCCCCGGCTGCTTTTAACCCCTAGGTTGCTGAGGACAATTTAGTGAGCTTCCTCTGTTTGGACTCCCCCTCTCCGCCGCTTTCAGCAATGGGAAGCAAGCGGGCGGCGCTGCCGGGGATGTGCGGGCTGCGGAGACCCCGCTCCGCGCTCTGCCTCACCGCCGAGCCCGCCGGGCCGGCGCTGCGGGAGAGGAAGGTGCGCGTATCGCCGTCCTTCGCGGCGGGACTGCCCCGCACCGCCGCTCCGGGGACTCTCGGAGTGTATCGGAGCGTATCGCAAAGGGAAGCCGGGAAGTGAGCTGAAAAACTCCCCGAGCGGCGGTTCTGGGAGATGCCCTCGCTAGCAATAATTACAGCCGCGCTCTCCACCAACATGGCGATATTTCATGTGCAGTCGCCAGCAAGCCCGCCTCCCCCACCCCCTCCTTTTCCTCTCCTTCCTCCCTTGCTAACTTTTAGATACAAAGCACCAGTATTCAACAAATATAACACAGAATAAAAGAATCTCCAACCCTCAGGGAAGAGACGGACCTCCTCTAGTATTCTGTCTGATTTTCATCATCAGCCATAAAGACTTAAAAACCTCTGGAGAAACCGCCTTTTGCCCTAAAGCGGTAACAACACCCACTCCACCCCACCCCTCTATTTCTCCTGTACACATTCAGTGCGTGTACATATAAGTGTGTGTGTGCGTGTGTGTGTGTGTGTGTGTGTGTGTGTGTGTGTGTGTGTGCCGGGCTGTCTGCGCTTGTTTTGGAGTAACCCTTCCCCCGCCGTCCAGCTCTCTAGTACGCTACTGCCTTGTCCTGGAAAGTCCACTTAAAGACAAGGCTATTTAACACCGAGAAGCACTTGAGCGATAGGATACAGCCGTCAAGGTAGGACGTGGGGTGTGCGAAGAGAATTTGTCTCAAACTCCTACATTAAAAGAAAACGCACAACACAGCTTTTGGTGCGAGTTACTTTAAGAAACCGGCTGAGGAGGGATGGAGGAGAGGGAGCTGATCAATGCCATGTGTCGAGGAAACAGAAAAGCGAACCGAAATGCCTCGGGTTTGGCTTCCCCCTCACCCTTGGCTGCTCAGTGGCTTCTATTTGCTCTGCCGTACCTCATAAGCTGAATCACTCGCTATTAGCTGCGCGCCTCCTTCGCCCTTCGCTTGGGGGGGCTAAACCACTCACGACTTCAAAGGCTCAATAAAGCCGTACCGAGGAGCCCCGGCGAGGGTCAGCCCGGCCGCCGTGTGCTCGGCGCAGCTCCTGCCCCTGCACTCGCCCTGCCCTGCACCTCCTGCCCTCCAAGGGGGCTTCCGAGAGTCCCCGCGTATGGACAGCCCGGAGCGGAGCCGCGCCGCGCCGCCTGCTCGCTCGCTCGGAGAAGGACTTGTGCCCTCACCTACGCGGAGTGATGGGGGTGGGGAGCGAGCACGGACGGGGGAGCGCAGGTAGCCACATTTCTCGGGGGTCTCAGCAAGAGGAAGGGAGTTAAGGACGAGACCCCGCTTCCCTCCCTGCTTTACGCCCCCAGGATGGAGGGGAGGCAGCCCGGGGCCCTCCGCGGGTGCAGCCGGCCGGGGAGAAGAGGGTGTGACACCGGTCAGTCCCGCCGTCAGAGCCTGCATCCCCGCCTCGGAGCAGGGGCTGCTCTGTGGTCGAAACTGCTCGCAGATGCTAGTTGGTGCCGAGGGATGAAAGGATCAGGAGCCCTGTAGAGTACAAAGCCTAATGTGCTAGGTTTTTGGTGGTTTTTTTTTTTTTTTTTGGGGTTTGTTTTTTTTTTTTTTTTTTTTTTTGTGTTTTGTTTTGTTTTTTGGTTTTTGGTTTTTTTTTTGGTTTTTTTTTGTTTGTTTTTTTTTACTTTTTAAGATCTTTCTTTCTTAGCCTCTGCATACTTTTCAGAGTTCTTATTAGAGCATGATTTATATCTCCTTCATGAAGCTGATGGACAACCAGTGCATTTTTTGGCGAAAAACCCCTCTCTTTTTCATGTGTAATCCACCTGTCCCTCTGTTTTCCACGTCCCCGATACTAGCAACCTGTCGTCAGCACAGGAGGCAGACCTGGCCATTGTCGATCACAGGTATTTCTGCCCTCTCTGCCCCTAATGAGGGAGGAAAGTGGGAATGTTAAAAACTTGTGCAAGGCTTCAGGCAGTTGCCCTGCTCCGCAGTTTCAGAGGGATTAGGTGGAATTATTCCTGTTCCTCTCCCTGTCCCTGGACCCTCAACCAGTCTGTACTTCAAATCAGTGAATGATACTCAGGACACGTTTTGGTGAAATCAAGATTGTGTCAATCCAGAAAGTGACTTAATCAGGCGTTACCTGCTCCTGCAGAAGTGAGTTCCTTCTCAGTAGGTCACCCAAAGCCCACCGGGTCCGGCAGGTTGAAAGGGGAGAAAGTGACAGCGCAGCTGGGCTCCAGCATGGTACTGTTTTAAGGATCACCACCGAGGTCTCTGTTTTCCATAGCTGCCAATGGTCAACAACACCCAAAGTTGCTCTCAAAGAAAGGAGGAAAGAAATTATCTTTCCAAACTGCTCTCCAGCCGGTCGTTTGACCCTGACACCCACCGATGACACTGAAGAACACTCCGTGGAAGCGGCTAAACGCCTTGCAATTTCCTGTCTTCTCTTCCCCCAGGCGGCCCCGGCGCACCGCCGCCGAGCGATCTTATCGCCGTGCGATCATTATTCACCGGTGACAACCAGAGACGCAGCGCTCCGAAGTGAGGGTGACAGATTTCAAACGCGGGGCTGCAGCGTATCCAGCCTCAGACATATTCTTCCTCAAACTTTGCCTAGCAAGAAAGTCAGCGGCTTAACCCTTTGCAGCTCTTTCTCTCGCCCGGGGACCGAGACCCCTGCACCTGGGAATGTTGGCTGGGGGAATGCAGGGCAACACGGCTACTTGGCTGGGGATTCTTTTTTACCTGCCATCTTATATTCTTGGTTGTTTTCACTTGAAACAGATGAGAACCGCCAACTCTGGGGAGCAGATGGAGGGCTTTTCTGTGATTAGGGGCTGGAAAAATCCTCTTGGCAAAGCAGATCGCCGGCGACTCACCTGTGGTCCCTCTCTGTCACCCTGTCTGCAAAGTCATCTGCACGGCACGAGTTCCTCTCATACGCACATATATAGAGCTTCTGCACTTTCCCCAGCGTGGTGTGGTTAAAAGTACAATTCCAAAAGTGCCATTTCACTCAGACTCCAGAATCAGCTCTTTTACAGGTTATTAACTACAACAGAGAAAGGAGCAAGTGAGAAAGAAACATATTTTCAGGAAAGAAAGAAAGGAAAAAAAGCCTTTTTCACACATGCACTTTGTACTCAAAGGAAATATTTGCAACCACCAAACTCCAGCATGTCAGAGCATGTTTCCTCCTAAGCACAAGAAACCTTAAAACTGACAGAAAAGCATGTGCAATTCAAAGATTAAATGAAGTGCTTGAAAGCTTTCAAAGTGTGTACCACCAGCCCAGAGCCGGATCAAGACAACAGGGAAACAAGATTAACAAACTCTATTGGTTGCCTAGTATTCATTTATATATATTTTCAGTACATTATGATATTTCTGTCACCCTTCTCTGCCCCACACATGCCCTCCCTCCCCCTCCCCCCCCAAAAAAAAAAGGAAAAAAAAAGGAGGGGGAGACACACGACCTCTGACTGCAGCTGGTGTTCCGGGAGGTCCTTCCAGAACCCCTGTGGTCATGCTGTAGGAAGGATGGAGAGGCAGGTAGATGTGTATGAATGGGAATTTCAGTGCTTTCTTCATTAAATGTGTAAGATAAGGCTGGACAAGGGAGGAGATGAATCCTACGGTAAGCAAAAGGACAGGAAAGAAAAATTCTCCTCCCATCCACATTTCTAATTTCCCATTTTTAAGCACAGCAGGCAAGTGAACCTCATCTGAAGAACAACCCCCAGCCACCCCCAACCCCCCCCCCCCCCCCACCCCCCCCCCCCAAACTCCCCCAAAACTGACCCTTTCGACATCACATCTATCCTTGTCCGGTTTGTAACAGCAGGTGACGCGAGTGGGGCCGTGAGCAGCCCTGGCCGAGGGAGGTTTCGCGGG